CAGGCAGCAGAGAGGAGGGAAGAAAGGTGATTCAGTTCCCTTTTGGGATGGTACTGTAAAGTCCCAGGTAGCTTTCCTGCTTTTATCTTGCTTTAGACAGAAGGCTGAGAGACAGCTTGCTATGAGGTAAGCTCAACTCAGGACCAGCCACCTCCTTCGAGGGGAGGGGAGGGAGTGGTCGGGGAGGCACCACTCATCCTGCACGTGGTGTAAGACACCACGATGAGCCGCCAGGGACCTCTGCAGTCCGTCCATTGCTTCGGGCTGCACTGAGCAGTTGGTAACAGTTGAGATTTTCACGTAGAGCTGCGTGTATGCTGGAACAATTGCTCGGTTCATTTAAACTAGTGGCTACCAGAGCACGTTGGAGAACACAGTTGTTCTCACCTTCTAGCCAGGGACCCTCCCGCCAGGTTTCTGTCCTGCTGTTCATTTCCACGTAATTTTCCAAGACTTCTGGAGGAAATGTAAGCAGCCTGATGCTTTTCTGTGTGATTCCCCCCCTTGTTTTTGAAGGAACAATATATTGCCTAGGGAAGAGTGGATGAAATTCCAAACCTCCATTTCTTTAAAGCTCTGAGATTTGGTGTTAGGAAATAGAAGAAAATTCCAGAAACACCCTAAAGAAACATTATTTCTTTCAAATGTGATTTGGAACAGCAAAGGACAATATATTTTATAGAACAACTTTTAAGACAACTGAATTGGCAGTATGTTCACATAATGAAACTTCCAACAAGTCTTTATATTTCTCCTGGAAATTTCTTGATTCTGGGTGTAAATTATTAATAATTAATATCAGCTTTCTATGCTTTCTCTTCCTGTAGTTGTAGAGTTAACGTGAAAATAGCTTGTTGTGTCACTGAGAAAGCCTCCTGGTCAGCCTTCTAGTTAAACAGCTTGTGTGTGTTTCAGTGGCAGGTGTGCTAAATAGTAGTTTTCAGGCACTTGAGGGATGCCTATCACACCAGCACTGTGGGAGCCTATTTCTCACCCACAACCAGGTGAGACCCTCCTTTCCTCCACTGCCTCGCCCAGGACCCAGCATTCTGGTTCTTTCTCATGACCCGTTTTCATAAAGTTCACCCTGCACCAGAAGAGCAAGTCTTTTACTCTCAAAGACCAGGATCTTAGTTCTAGGTTTTCTGTTAAAGGACAGTGTATAAAATCAGGCAAATTTATATGTCTTTTGAGGCCTCAGGTTCTCTGCAATTGAAATAAGAACTTGAGTTAAAATACTATTCTTTTCCACTTCTGAATTTCTATAACTCCACACAATAGCTTTTTTATTAATTAGCTAAAAGTTTTTCCAGAATATATTTTCCTAAGTTTCACAAATATCTGCTAATTTATATTTAAAGATGCTATATTTAAGAAATGGAATAATTATTTACTTTTAAAAAGTAATTTAAGTCAAGAAATGTTTGATTCTGAATGTTTTCTATGAGTTCAAGTATGTAAGCTTAATTTTTGTGGTACTGTCAATAAACCACACAACGTGAGAGTTGTGGGTTAAGTTTTATCTT